TTACAGTTCTAATAAGTTTTAAGAAACTTTTTAAATCCATAAGGTTTTATTTAGAAATTATTTTAATTTCATAAGTTTTATGTTTTTAATAAAAATAAGAATATTTACTATATTTTATTGCCACCAAATTTAAATTACAAAGTTTTTGTAAAGAACAGTAACATTTCTATATAAAAATGTCAATTTAATACTTTTATATGATAAGCATATATATATATATTTATATATTAGCAAATAAACATATATTCTACTTAATAAAATCAATTCTTACATTTAAGCCCTCAAACTTTCCTGTTTAGCGATCTATTATTCGTTGTAAATATTTGTAAGCCTTTTAAATATTTTATTGAAGTAGTATACTAATTTTAATAAAAACATAAATAAAATTCTAAGTATTCAAATAATAATATCGAATAGCTCATATTTGTTGTGTTAGCTGAAGAAATATTTAAATGCATGCAAAAAATCTCAATATAAAAGGAATACACATTATATTTTTTTTTTAATGTCTATTTAAAATTCTATCATTCACTCTTATCATAAACTATAAAGCACTGCTCCAAACATAATTTAAAAAATAAAATTTGGTATTTTTAAATTCTGCATGGTTGAATTAAAGTTAAATATAAATAAATATTTTGAAATATCCATATATTTTTATCACAAAATAATAATGAAATTCTAGTACAAAGTAAAAAAAAAAAACATTGGAAATGTCTAAGAATTATCCAATAAAAAAAATCAGATAATTAATTAAACAAACAAAGCGATTAAGAGGATATTGTACCTGTATGTGTAGTCTCTATTATACTAATACATATCATATTAAAACATATGTTCGGCAGTTTTAATTTTGTGTGCTTAGCTTAAATATTAAAGTGAAATGGCCTATTAACTTAAAGTTAAGAACATTATCTGTATTCTCTTATCGATTTTTTTATAGTATTTTAATGTTTAAGTAAATTATGAGTGTGTAAAACATGAATATTTAAAAATGCTCATAGTTCACTTAAGTTTTGTAAAAAATAACGATAATACAGATAATTTAATTTTAATGATTGGTCATTTTACTTTTATATTTAAGCTAAGCTCACAAAATTGAAACTATTGAACAAATATTTCGGTATAGTAGGCGTTAAAACAAAGATAACATATATAGGTATGATGTTCTCTTTCTCTTAAGATATTTTTAACTCGACATTTTTACAGAGAATAAAAATAAATAACTCATACTTATAATTTTCAGCATTTTCAAGCATATACATACATTACAACTTCCAATCCAGCACACGTAATAAAGAATATTAAAATTGTTTATTCTTAGAATATTCAATAGTTACTAACACTTTAATAATGATAGTTAACGCCCAATAAAACTTGTTATAGTTTTTTTTTTTTTTTTTTTTTTTTTTTAATTTTAACAACACAAATTAAGTTTTATTTATAAAATCTCATATAATTTGTAACTTTTGCTTTTCACTCAAGACATTTTATAAAAACAGGGTGTTAAAATTACAATTTAAACAATGGAAATTAATTTAAAATTATATAAATATTATATTGTTGAAACAACATTACAATATATTTTGATTTTGTTTTAAGATTGCTGGCCTTCCATAATTTGAATATTATGTATGGATAGCGTGCCGCACAGATAGGGCTGCTAAAATAAACAAATAAGATAATATTAAAACATGCTTCAACTTGCCAGAAAAAACATGCGCTGTTGGTAACCTTTTCTCTGTGAAAATTTGGTTAGACACCCTTGCCGTACAAACTCTCGGCCAGTAACATGAAGAGTGTCAATGCCAACCATATCTCTCTCCAACTCGCAGAGCTGAACAAAGTTCTCCTACGACATCAAAAATAAAACAAATTATAAAAGTTATAAAATAGAATAATAGGTAATAGTTAATTACCGATCTACGAAGTGCACTAGGTAATCTCTTTGTAACTTTCAATAGTTTTACCCTTGCTTCCAAACAGTTATTGTAATCAATATGAGAAGAACCATAATGTCTTATTAACTCTAAAAAATATAGATGTAAGTTAATTCTGAATACAATTTTATTGAAATTACATACTTTCTAATAAATGAGAATAATGGAGTAATCTTTGAAGTGGTTTTAATACAAATGAAGACAATGGCAAGTAGCACACTTTTTCTACTTCAAAATCTTTATAAAATGCTTCAAATTTTTTGTTAGTACGATATGTATGATCAATTTTTTCTAAGACATTTAAATGCTCATCTAAATAATTATCATACAACTAAAAATAATAAAATAAACATACATTAATTTTATTTTAATAAACAAAACTACTTTCATAAATTATTAAACATACCTCCAAATTATTAAAATGGCGTAATAAAATATCGGCTATACAAGGAGGATCCCAGTTATTTAATCTCATTTCCACATCTTTCAAAAACATAGAATGAGCATCATAAATTGGATCAATTAAATTTAAAAGCATGTTTACAGATTCTATCTGTCCCATTTCATCATCTTCTTTGCTCATTACATCACGCAACCACTAATAATTAAATATGAATAGTCTAATTACAAAAATATTTTTTTAATATCATGAATATTATTTTTCTTACAAAATTAATGACTTCTAAGTCTTTTCTATAGGTCCGCTCTGTCATCAATAATTCTTTAGTAATAAAATATGCTCGATCAGTTGGTCTCTAAAATTAAAATACATTTAAATTTTATAAAGGAAGAAAAAACAAAATTAGTACATTACACAATATAATTTTATTTTATATTAAATATTTATACTATATTAATGTATAATAATACTTACTTTTCGTTTTGTATCAATAGTTTCAACATTTTTCAATAAAGTTTTGTCTTTAGCAGTATTTATTGTACTAATATTGTTATAATGATCATTGCTGAAAAAATAAAGGTATTAAACATTGTTTGTTTAGTAAAAAAAAGAAATCTGCATATTATGTTACCTTATATTTCCTAATGATCCATTGATTACATTGTTTTTCGGGGTGGATGATGTCAATGCCTTTAAACCATTTTCTTTAACAGACATGGAAGACAAACACAATGTTGATCCATTGATTTTCTTAAAAGGTGAATCTACTTCTTCAGGAGTGTCACCTTAAATTAAAAAACTTTGTTAATAATAGTATTTTATACAAAATATATCATGCAAAGTACAATTCACAAGTTAAGAAATAAAAATATATATATATAATACTTTTATAACCATGTATGTGTGCAATTTGATAAAATTAAAATAGGGATAGGTTTGTGACAGCAAATAAAAATATGTGATAATGATAATTTAACCAAAGTACAAATATATACTTAAATGTGTATTTATTTGTGTGTTGCAAAATAATAATTAAGTACACGGAAAAACAAAAAATAAATAAAAATAATAATAATAATAAATGAAAAGCAACTTTATGATATATAAATAAATGTTAATATATAAAAATAGGGTTCAACATAAAATGTACAACTATTTATATGTATTCAAAACTCACTTAACTCCATTGGGTAAAACCGGATATGCATAACACGAATGATTTAAAGTAACATTCAATAAAAAAATATAAAATATGGAAATTATTAAAAATTATTAAATCATATTTTCTTTTTTTTTAATTTATTGACTTTTTATTAATTATTTTATTTTTTATAATCATTTATGTACATAGTAAAACAGTACCTAAGTATAATAATTATAATAAATTATTTATAAAAAATTTACAAAAAAAAATATATCTAAGTACCTAATTGATTAGTCAAAAAAAAAATAATAACAAGGTATATATTACTGAAATGCAGTTCACATTTACGTAATGTGAAAATGTTTTTGAAATCTATCAATATATATTATATTATATACGTGTAAAATTGTGTATAAAAAAGAAACAAAGAATAGAAAACAAAACAAAACAACCACGACAAAATATAGAATCTTTTAACAATTATTAGTCAGATGTAATTAAACAAAATTAAATAACTACAAATAATACAGAGAATTATGTATAACATCAAATGTATAGTCAACAGAATAAAAGATAATTAATAAATACTGAATTTTGAAGACAATATTCTAAAGCAAATTTGCTTTTTTGAAACTATGTTTAATAAATATTGTATATTAAAGGAAGACCATTTTTTATTTGATATAATCTTAAAGAATTAGTATTTAAATTTTGAATATGAAAATTAAAAGAATGCATCATAATTATTTTTACCAAATTTGGGATCCCAAAGGCAGAGTTAATATTTTGAATTAATTTATTTCTCTTTTAAAATTTAGTATAATAACTTATTAATCTTGCGATGTTTTTAATTTTCTTTTACATTATTTACATTGGAAATAAATTCTAATAAGTAATTTGTCATCATAATATTCAATATCAGTCTATTATAATATTAAAATAATTATTTATAAATATTTGTATTTTTAGTATGTCATCATTTGTAATATAATGGTCAAACAAATGGTTAACAAAATAATAATGTAATATTACTGATAAAGTGGTACATTCTGTTTTCAATTTTTCACTGTTAAATTTTACATAACTCAATCAAGATGAAACATTTATATGAATATAAGAAATCAACTTAATGATTAAATAAATAACTTAAATTATTATTTCAAATACAACATATTTGAGCACCAAATAAAATTTAAATTTCCAATAGAATATTAAATAAATTTTTTTAAGTATGTTTTAAGTACTTTAAACTAATATTTGTTACCAAAACACAGTTCGATCACATTTGCAACCCAACCAAATACAGTTCACTATCATTTACAACTTACAAAAATGTCTTCATAATTAAATTATATACCTAGTTGTATATAATATTATGTTGTTCACTTAGAATTAATAATTACAATTTAACAGAACAAAACTATTATTTAAATATTATAAAATAAAACAAAACAAAACCCAAAGACAACATTAGATTATTATCACAACCACAAAAGAAAATATATATATATATATGAATCTATAAAAACATAAATATTAAAGAAAAATTACTAATATACCATGTGAACACTAAAACAATGATTTAGTAATGTCTTTGTTGTCATTAACTTTCTTAAACACAATAATAATTGTTATTCTACACCCTATATACCATTATAAATTAAAAATTTGCTTCAAAATTGTTTTGTTGTAATTTAATGGAAGTTTGGATATTTATCACTAACATTAACTTATATTGAAAAATTCAATCTATACTTTAGTAATTTGAATCACTTTAGGTTTTCTCTTTAAAGTATGTGTATAACGTCTTCTTTTGGAAGCTCTAGGTATTGTATTTGGCACATTAGGTGGCTCTTGAGCCTCAAGTGAAGATGATGAAGCGTCACTAGGAGGACTGCGAGTTAATGAGAAATATGAATGGCAACGAGCTCTTGAAGCTAATATTTTTGGTTTAGGTCCTGATGCATCCAATGACGCTGGACCATGTGCCATACGACTCTTTCTAGTTTTCATACTGGTCTTTGGTAGTTCAAACATGTGTAGTGGTGGCCGGTAGAATTTTGATTCATCAGACTCAGTAAATGGGGAATCATATTCATCAGAATCTTTATTCAAGAATTCTGGAGGTGGACAAACACTATCATAGTGGTGAAGTATTGTAGCATTACTCGAAAATTCTGATGTAGAAACACCAGCTGAAGTATCATCACCAAATGATAATCTAGGTTTGTTAGTAGATGGTACTCGACGTGGTCCTTCTGATTCTTCTTCAATAAAATCTTCATTATGAATTGTTTTTGCATCTTCATCGTCATCAAAATGTTTTTGTTCGACAGGTGTAAGGTCTTCACTTTTAGGAGAAGGCCATTGTTCAACTGGTGGAGGAATATCAAATGCATACTCTTCTGGTAATGGTGGTAAATCTGGTAAACTATCCAATGCATCAGAACATAAACTTGGCTGACAATCACTAGACAGTATTGAATCATCTAATGATGCTGATTGAGTAGAATATTTTGTTGATAACTCATCATCAATCTCAGATTTTTCCGATGTACTTTGTTCGCTTATTCTAGACAATGTTCGTGACATGCCATATATACCATATCCTATGAGATACATACCAGAATAAGTAACATCTGGAGTTGGTGGTAAAGGACTAGACGTAACATCTTCTTCATCAGCAATGTTTCCACTCATATCATCCATATGAGGTGGATCATCAAGACTTGAACTACCAGAACTTTCTAATGAAAGCTTATGATGTCGTTTAGGTTCTAACTTCGGTGGTATTTCAATACAGCCTAATTTATTAATTAATTCAGCATGATCAATTTCTTCTATAAATACATCTGAATTAGGATCAGGCTCTTTTTCACTTTGATCATTTTTATCTACTATAAAGTTATCTGCTTCGATTACTGTATCTTCAATAATTTCTGAAACACTCTGACCTGTTTTTTGAGTTGTACGTTTTGTTTCATCTGAACTTTGTGAGTCAAGTTCTTTAAATGGTATTTCCTCACTACTTCCTGAATCATCGACAGACACCCAATCATCATCAGTTGAACATTTGTTATTAGATTTATTATTTTGGTTTATTATATCAGCATTAGGAGCACAAATGTTATCAGATACAAAAAACGTTTCATCTTCAAAATCCTTATGTTCATAATCAATAACTGATGCCAAATTTAATTCTTCAGAATCCCAAATTTCAAAATTTTTTAATTTTTTTAAAGAATCTAAACGTTCTTGTCTAGTACTTGAACGTCTTCTTTCTGGTGTTACGCTCGGTGACAATGATATACTATCATATTCGTCAGATTCTTTAACAACAGTATTAATCAAATATGTAAGACATTCTACAACAGTCTCATCAACTTTAATGTTCCACCATTTAATTGGTTTTTCTTCCAACTCTACCTCATTTTCGTTATCAACTGTATCATCTTTACTAGAAAATGACGTAACTAAAGGAAGTTGATGCAAGGAAACAACTGGTGAATCCAAGGATATTGCTCGCCTTTGTGACTGGTTTTGACCAGATACATTTGGAAATGCTGAACCTTCAGATAAACCTAACCTAGCAAAAAGTATTGGAGATTTTTCTCGATTTTGAGATATTTTATCGGGTAATATTTTTCCCAATAATTCGGAAGGTAATTTTTCTTTTTTTAAAGTAGTTAATCCACTAGAATCAGCTATTTTTGTTGCTAAAGATTGGAATTTATTAATTTTAATAGCCTTAGATTCAGCATCCCTTGATTGTGGTACTTCAGTTTGTTGTGAAACTAACATACTAGATAATGCATTATTCAATTTTATTTTTATTTCATTAGAACTGTTACTGACAGGAACAACTTGCTCTTCGTCTTTTCTTACACAGCTATTTTCAACTTTTTGTATTTCGCTATGTACAGTTACATTTGAATGAGAGTACTTTACAGAATTAGATACAATATCAGGAAGAGCGTTGTACTCCATTAATTTATTGTTTTTCACTCTATTATTATCATCATCGCTTATCACAACATTTGGAACCACATGAATAGAATTAGATGATAAAGCAGAAGCAATTTTAACTTTAACAACAGAAGACTTAAAATTTTTATCTTTTTTTGGGCTATTTGTAATACGTTTTTCTGGAGATATTCCAGGTGAACTTGAAGCAATGGATGTAGAAGCTGATCCTAAACTCTTGTTATCTTTACTGCCCAATGAGTCCTTTCTTATTTTTTTACCTTTACCCCCTCTATATTCCACAATAATTATTTCTTCAGGTTTAGGCTCTATTTCATCAGGATCAATTTTTATAACTTCCACTTCTTTTTTTAATCCATTATCTGCACTACGAGGTTGGTAACAAATTTTCTTACCTTTATTTACAGGTACACTGTCGGCACTATGACAAGACTTCAACTTGTTGTTTTTTTCACCAAAAGATGGTCTAATTTCAGATTCATTGAATGAAGTTGATTTGTAGGCCATTTGAATAAGCTCTGAACTTTTAGATGTGGTTACTACATCATCATGATATTTATTTAATAAAAGTGCATCTAAATCAACCGGACTGTCATCTTCGACACTTATATTACCAGTAGATTGTGTTGATAATGATAAACCAGAATCTTGAGAATAATGATCTGAACCACACTTAATTGTTGACCATTTCACTGTACTCTCTTCATTAGGTGAACCCTCAATTGTGTGTCGTTTATGTAATATATAAGGTATATCCAAATCTAGTTTAACAATGCTAGGTTCAAAATTATCAAGAGGTGTCAAGTCTATAGATTTTTGATGTAATAGTCTATGAGATTTATGTTTAGGAGCACTCATATATGAATCACTTTTTGTTCGTTCCACAGGAATATGACCAGTTTCACCTTTGTTTTCAAAAGCATTGAATCGAATTGTATTATTAGTAAAAATTTGTTCTTTACTTCTGGAAGCTAATTCTTTTTTACAAATTTCATTAAATTTATTGAACTCTATATCTCTATATTTGGGCTCTAAATAACCAAGTCGTTTTTCAATTGCTAAAGTATTTTCTTTATTATCATTTTCAACATAAAATATTTCATCTTCATCATCACTAATAGTATTATTAAATACTTCTTTTTCTAATAACTCATATGAATCTTGACTAATATCATCTTGGTACATATCATCTATATCTGGCAATATTCTAACATTACCAGTAATTTCAAGTTTACGATCGCTACCACTTTCAGTTGATAAACTAGAAGTTGTACCTGGGTAACTACTTGAGAAAATTTTTGTAATAGGATGATCTACTGAACTATTTCTATCAAATGAGGAATTTACTTCATCATTTTCAACAGGAGGAGTTTCTCCAGAACAAGACCTAGATGAATTAAACTCTTTGCAGCTAGAGCTACGTTGCCAACTATAAATGGAAGGGGTAGATTTATCGATAAGAATTAAATCTGTCTGACTAGATTGACATTTAATATCTTTATAAAAAGTTTCAGAATATTTAGAAGACGTATATGATTTATCAGTGTCATAATCGTCTTCATAATAATTTGACCTGATTACATTTGTACGAGTACAAGGTCTAGTGCAAATGACGTTTGGGTACATAATAATGTTGTTTACGACGGAATGTTTCTGACCTGGATCGTTGACGCTGTACGAGTGCTGGGACGAAGTGATGGAAGTTATGTCCGAAGTTGTCGTCATCACTGTCGTCGGATGTACAACTTGAGCAGTCGACACCTCTCCAGGCACCACCTGGCGATGGACTGCGTTCGGACTCAGAGAACCCGCTAGGCTCGTGGCTTCCGAATTTGCTAAAAAAAAAAAAATTACACATAAAATTAAAAAAGTTTAGAAAAAATGAAGAGTAGGTTATTAAATATTTTAATATGATATGTTTATACAATATAAATATTTTTTATTTGTATTTTTATTGAACAGATATTTCTTTAGAAAAATAAAATAAACCAATACGCATGCTATACCTAAAAAGTTTATGGAAACATGCTTAGATCTAGCAGACAATAGAAGTCAAGAAAAGTGTTCAAGTAATATATATACATATATATGAATGTAGAAATGTATAATATTGTATAAATACCATTATTTCATTTAAATTGTATAAAGCAATGAAAATTGTAATTAAAATAAAAACTTAAGAAAATACTAAATAAATTAAAGCAATATAACATTATAAAAAACACTGCAGTGTTAAATGATATATGGATATAATTTTATGTCGATCACCAAAATAATAAAAAAGATTATTTGACCAATCAAAATGTATGTACCTAACGATAAATTTATTATATGTAAATTATAATTCTTTTAATAAAACTAAACCAAATATTAATAGCCTCCTTCATATCAAATAAAAATGTATATTTAAAATATAATAATGAAAATACAAATAAATACATTAAGTGTAATATACTATTTGCATATAGAGTTTTTAACAGATATAATCTATATTTTCAAAAATGTTTATTTTTATGAAAAAACATGTCAACCTTAAAATACTTGATATTATGCTTAATAATTATTTTATAAATAAGGTATATTTAATAAAAAACTAATATTGGCTATACAAATTACAAAATTATTATTATGAAGTGGCTCCAATAACATAAGAATTATAAACTTAAGTTAAAATAAATAAATTATGATAAAAATTAAATTGCAAAAACATACCGAGGGGCAATAAAGGATGTGCTGAAATACTGGAACCAACATTGGATATAGTAGAATGCGACAATCCGGTATGCCGAAATGATTGAGACCTGTTGGCAGAAACAGGGCAAACGGTGTAAAGAGACACTATTTTTTTTTTCCAATGAAAGTAACCCATTAAATTATTTTAACACACAATCAGAAACTTACTATTTGATGTCGTTTTTAATTAGTTTATTTTTATTTTTTCCAAAAAGAAAATATTAGTAAGTAATAAAAACATGCGTTTGGAAAAATGTTCAACTCATAGGAATATAATTTTATATATATAACTTTTTTTTTGGTCAACAAATTATTAATTTTAATACTACTGTAAAATAAACAATATTAAAGAACTATAGAATTGCTCTCATCTTAGTATTGGTTTAAAATAATACGTTGCCACCAAAAAAAGAACCTAATATTATATTTACAATATATATATATTATATTTTTACAATTTTATACATGAAGTTGTAATTAAAATATAATTATTTATAGATGTGAATATTTATTTTACTAAACTAAAAATTATATTATATATGTATAACATAACTAATAAGCTCAAATTAAAATATCAAGTTCCATATTGTGTTATAAAATTAACAACTACAAAATATCTTTAGTTGATATTTTAGTTTCTGATGTGTTTTAACTTTGGAGCCACTTTCATTGACAAATATGTGAAAAAAATAAACAAAAAATCATTCTCTTCTAAAATTGTGGCATGCTAAGAATTACAACAACCAAGCTATTCATATGGTTGTGTATATTTACTACTAAAAATAAAATAATTGATACTTATTGTCCATAAGAATAATTTCATTAAAGTTGATTTTTTTTATTTGTCATTTATGAATTATGACTTATATATAGACTTACCTTTGGAATGTTTGACGTTTAACAAAGTTTTCCCTAACAAATTCCACCATTTGTTTTTGAGTTTTACCGCTATATCTATAATTTAAAATATGGTTTTTAAATTTAAACATAAAACACACAAATATTAAAAAGTATTACCTGAAAGATGATCCTCGGCTTAGAACTTTAGTCCGTTGACGTGGTAAACGTTTTACAGTGAAACATCTAAAAAAACCATGATTTTCTACACATTTTTTCCAGAAACTTTTACAATCGTTACGAGTTTCAAAAATAAATTCCACAATATCTTTAAAGTAACCCTGTTAACATTTAAAAATTCATTACTCCTAAAATGTTACAACATTAAAAACTTTATTTATTTATCAATAATTAATTTTAAAATAACTTACATATCCCTCGGGATGTAATTTGATGAGGAATTTTTTACGCTTAAAGCTTAATTTTCTGATTTTGGCCCAAGAAAATGTATTAATTTTTGTAAAATTTTGAAAAACCAACACACCTAAATGTGCAACTGAAAGATTTAAAGGAACACCTTCAGGGTCCTATACAAAAAATTTTTAATTAGAATATTTCATAAAAATCTAACAATTTACAATTTACCTTTGCTGGATGCATTTTAATCCCATACAATTCACACCGACGTGCTGTCTCTAATAAATTTAAATCTGCTTCTGCTGGTGATTGTCCTCTATAAATTAAGTTTAAAAATATTATTTAAACAACAAATATATTTTAGAAAAAACTTACATATGTCTTTTATGACTCTCCATTATTCTTATTTCCATTTCTCTGTCTTGGTGAGGGACAAATTTATGTGATGATAAATAGGTATGATCTGGATAATCATCCGCAGAATAATCACCACATTCAGCTAAAATATTTTATTTACAATTAGTTGTGAATTTAAAAAAAAAAATAAAAAAAAATTTTATAACAAAATTTACCTTGTACAATATAAGAAGCCATTAAAGCAGCAGTATTATCATTACATTGCATATGCCCATGTGATAAATCTCGTTTAACTTGTAAACAAAACAGATACCTGGTATATTCCTCTTCCAATTGAGCAGGATCAGGTGTATAGAACTTAACACAAAACCTCATTAATGGTTCTACAAGTGACAGTCCTATCTGTTTGTTTAATGGCTTTTCTAAGTCTAACCAATGCTGAAAATACAATAAAAAGTATTAAACAAAGATCACCAGAAGAATAATTTATTTTAAATACAACTTACCTTTGTAGAACCTTCTTGATATTCAAGACCAAAATAATCGGCTTCTAACAAGTTTAGTTGTTTACATACTTGTTCGAATAACACAGATCCGTCAGCTTTTGTCTAAAAATGATATTAAATAAATAATTACATTTTCCTTAAAAACTAAAAAATGTTTAATTTCAAACCTGCACTTGAAAGAGCGTAACTGAATCATCCAACATTTGGACACGGACGTTGAGCATTTTTCCCCCCCTTCTGGGTGTCGTTGGAGGCGTTTTAGATCCAGCTACACCGGGAGTGGATTGTGAATGGGGTATTTTGTTCAGAGAACTTCCCAGAGAGCTTGGGGTAAGCGATTGGTCTTTTTCCACTGGAGACATTTTCTATACTTATTCTAAAACTAATTTAAAAGTAACAAAAACCGAAAAATTCACGAAACATAAAACATTAAAGTGGTTCAAATCATGTTTTTCTATCAACAGCATTGATTGATTCTGCATAATTGATAGAATCTGTTCTACCTCGATAACACCAGTGATATTCCATCTGAAATCAAAAACATTAGATTAAAATTTAAACTTATATTGTAAAATAAAATTAAGTTTAGTATTTTTAGTAATGCCAAACAGATATAAAATCTAATACTTTGTTGGGAAGGAAGCAATCATAGTTTTTACAGATCTATTTTTAATCTTTTAAAAGAAACGAAGAGATAGTAGTGACAAATGACTCGTATAGTAATTCTATTTATTTTAGCCGGTACAAATAAAAACGACTGTGGATACACGAGTGTATGACGAAGTGTTGTGACCTTAAACGATTAGACGCCACCTAATTCAGTTGAACATATTAAATAAAAAAGGTCTCTTGCATACAAAACTGTTTCACTATTCAATGGTTTGTATAGCGATGCTAAATTGTTTAAATTAATGTGTCTTCAATTTAATTTCATAAATAAACATCAATGTATGTAAAAGAAAAATCGCTTTGCATCAATTATCTTCGAATGACTACTAAAAGACGATTATATATGATAAAGAATTTAAATAAATTTAATTAAACTACATGAAACTCGTTGGTTACAGTTTTGTACTTTATTTGTTTTATATGCATGAAGAACTCGTCTAAAAAAAAATAAACAAGTACCTACCGTTCTGCTGTACATAAGGTGTCGAGTAAATCACTATTATGAGTATGTTAAATTTGAATTCAATTATATATATATATATCACTGTATATGAAAAACGATTTTTAGGAGTCTGTCAGCTTATATCACTAAATACAATTTGTGATATGTTTTTTAATAAAGATATTACAGTCATTCATATTACAATAAGTTGATAAATTTTAAAGTTCTCAGTACTTTTTATTTTGGCCTTTCTAAAATACAAACTAGATCCAATTTGTTACCAAGAATCACCCCCATTTTTGAAAATCAAAACATTTCATTGATTTTTTTTATTATGTACACGTACACGCACAAAAGAAACACATTTTAAATCAATATATTCATCGTTTTGCTCAGAATTTAAAAAGTACACAATGAATGTACAAGGCCTTTTAAGCAACCTCACGTTTTATTGATAGTACATGGATATTTAAGATAACTGTAAATATAAGAAAATCTCAAGGAAACCAAGACATTATATTTTTATTTTATCTAATCGTAGTTTATTAGTTTGACTACTAAATATTTAAATAGTATTTTTATCTAAATGACAAATAATTTTTATTATACTAAAAAAAAAATGTATTCATGGTTAATTGTTTTACAATGACAGGATTCAAAATGTTGCTAATAATACATAACATATAATATTCATAAATAATCCGACAATTAGATTTATTTAAATATGTACAAATCAACACATGGAATAATACTTATATAAATACCACAATATCTCTTATTATGTAGGTTTAGGCAGTGAAGAAACAAATGAACAATAATTGAACTACCATTAAATATACAGAGACTCAATCACTTAGGTATTTTGTTATTTACCGTTAATTTACAGGGACAATATTATAATTAATAAAACATTACTTTCTTTATTATCCAAAATAAAAAAATTGTTATTAATATTATTTCTTACAAGACACATTCTTAAGTACAAAATATAAGTTATTACAAATTTAAATATAAGTGCGTATTTATTTTATTTACTACATGTACCTAAATTTAAAACAGAAAAATTAACTCAACTGCATATGCCTACATCACGGGTTATAATTTAAATTTTAAGTTCCTATTATAAACCTTAATGTTAATACATTATAATAACCTTGTGTCGGTCCTACGAAAGGTAAATTTATTTTCTAGAGAAAATGATGATAGAGGATTATCTAATGTTCATGTATATATGATATATCATATACGCGAATCATCTTATCTGTGTAATTCTCATTATAACAGTAATTAAAAATGACGTAAAATATTAAAAACGAAATTTCGTATTATTTAAGATAAGATTTATAAATAAAATTTACCATTAGTTTTATCTTAATCATTAATAAACTTTAATCTGCTTTAAGATAAAATTAATAAAAAACAAATAATATAATTAATATAAGTAATTGTACACATATTTTTGATCTTTGCTCTTTAAAATAGGTATATTTTGTTCTAATTTTTAACAAAAAAATAGTTACATAACAATAAACTAAACTCAAAATACAACATGATTACCTACCATTTTTAACTATTGAACTTTTCACACTAACAATATTTTAAGTAAACTATTCACAAATTTTAAGAAAAAATACAATATTTAATTTGTCAAAATCGAAAACAGTAGGTCATTAAACCCCCCTTTCTCCCTTCCTCGAAATTTTTAAAAGTAGAAACATTATTTTAGTGGTGAATATTACAGTTTATATTATTATATTTTTAACGTAAAAATGGCAAGTGTTCGGTATCTAATATATCTATATGTCGCATACTCCCATCCATATCGCGTTATTGTACGTTTCACGAAATGGACAACGTTTACATCCATTTCGCGAAATGAAACCGCGGTTTCTCCACTTCACGTAATTACACAATATGGATAATATTTCGTGAAATGGATACCTAAACTATCGTCAACGGAACTTGTTCCGTCATTTGGATGTCCATATAGCAAAACTTAAAAAAAAATTTATTTTTAAATATTATATATTTTATTCCTAAAAGTTTAATTAAATTATTAGTTTTAAGTAAATGTTTTACAAATATTATAATATTATAATACTTTAATACAAACTATTATTTATTTAGACATGCTTGTGAATTATGACAACGAGAATTATATTTTAAATTATCTTTAAAACAAGCACATTTTTTAGTTTGACATTTGCCTTTACAATAACAACTAAAAAAACCTTGACCTCCAGTTAAAGAAGAGACAATTTCTCTTAATGACATTTCTTTTGTCTTATTCACTTGCTCGATGTCAATGAAGTTTGATGTGGCTGATTGTATATTTCCAGAACCATACCAAACTTTTAGTACACCATGTTCAGTTCCTATACGGTTAAGGTCATTTTTCTGATCGATTTTTCTTACGTTTGGCGCACCAAATATACTGCAGAGCGATAACGGTAGGGAATTTGTTAATTCTATTTGAATTGAATTGAAAGAACTTTGGCCAGATTGCGTTATTGTTCACGGTCGACCTAGACACCCGCAGAGCCAGAGAAGTATTGAGAGAAGCAACCAGGACATAGAAAATATGTTAAGAGCTTGGATGAAAGATAATAAAACAAAGAAATGGTCAATTGGACTACAATTTGTTCAATTTCAAAAAAATAGTTCTCATCATCGTGTGATTGGTAGGTCACCGTATAAGGCTTTATTTGGGAATGATCCAAAAGTTGGATTAGCAACATCCAGTTTACCAATAGAAATTTTACAAAAATTGGTAACGGAAGAAGACTTAGAAGAAGTCTACAAAGAAGATATTTAAAGTTGCGTCAAAATTAAAAAAAAAATGAACCGAAAACCACGTCACCGTTGACATCTATCAAAAAGTGTTCAAAAAAAAATTAAAAAAAAATAATTTTATTTTAACATATTACTATTAGATTATTTGTATTAAAAATAAATAAAAATTGTTAACATTGACATAATTTTAAAAAATTAAGCAAGTAAGTAACTGCTATATATAGTAAATTAGGTATCGAGTGTACCTACTTTATTCGTTATTGAATAAGTCACTCCAATAAATGTGTTTAATTAGAACTGAATAATGATAAAATTTTTCTTACAAAAAAATTCTGAACAGAGATGGTCAGGTCAGTACAATTTACTTAGGATATAGACTGCTATATCGCCTATATCCTAAATAAATTGTAATATATATCTATATTGATATCATACAGTACCTAGATAATTAATCAAACTATAAGTTATATCAATATGGTAATTAAAATTAATTTTTGTTAACAATTTCTTATTATTATATCATTAAATATTTTTAAAATAGGGATCCCATACGACCCATACGTCTCGTATTTATGGAATTGTCTCATTTTGAAAGAAGTGTCTCGGTGTCCCGACACTAATTTAAAAATAATACCTTTATCCCGTATTTTGGATAATCCATCTTATATGTAACATATTTTAAAAATTAAATTTTTTTATATCATTTAATTTAATTTATTAAGTTTTTAAATTTCAAATTACTGATAAACCATAATATCCAAATCAAATAATAATTAATAATTATTACTTGATTATGATTGTGTTTAACTATATTTTATAGTATATTTAGTAGCTGTGAGGAAAATGAAATGTTAAAGTAAAAATATGTAATTTTAGCTACCAAATGTTTACAAAGAATTTGTGTAACAAACATCACATACCTACTTAATTTTGTAATATTTAAATTGCTAACATAAGTCCTCTCGCCCTTTCCCAAAATTAACACCAATATAAATTACAGTATACCTAAGCATGATTTAAAATTTCCCGTATTTAAAAATAAATAAATCTAAGGTCCCTAGTTCAAAACATATATATTTATGTTTTTAACCTTTGAATAAATACCAACATAATATAGAACGGTATATTAATGCATAAAAGCTTTAATTCTCCAAGAATAGTAATTTTGAATAGGCACAAGTAATTAATAAATTGTTATTCTACATTTAAGTAACCAATTTCGTCAATATTTTAATTTCAAATGTATATAAAATAAATTGAACAAGAAAAAAATTATGAGATATTGCATTAAATGTTTAAGATTTTTTATCAAGCCTAATTTTTTTATCAACACTTTAAAAAACACGAAAATTATAAATGCCTAAAAGTAAATAATTTAAATTTAGATTAAATACTTTGAAAATTTTAATCAAACAGAAATTAATAACTCAAGTTGAAGTCTCAGTTTTCTACTTTTTAAAATACAAATACAGTAGACCTTTGATAATCCGGACGAATTTCAACCAAGCATCGTCCGGATTACCGGAAGGTTTTCAAAATTACCTACTCAAATAACTAAGATTTTCATTTTTGATTCCATCACCTTTATATTTATTACACTTAAAATTATAAAAAACAGTACTCTTTCTACATTAACTTCAACTATTTTCTACCAAGAAAGATAATGAAGGTGAAACATTTTTACTAGGTACTTCATAAGATGATGACACACATTTAAAAAAAAAACTTCTAAAATCAATACATTCATTATACTACACTAATAGTAATCATCGCTCCAATATGGGTTATAACTATATTTAATGAATTTTTCTGTATAATTGTCTACTTAATTGTCTTCTTAAAAGTAAAGCATTTTAAAAATAATACTAATAAACCATATTTCCAATGAAAAATTAAATTGTAAAAAAGCAAAAAATTCAAATTATAAATATACTTAACAAACATATAAAAAAAACTTAAGCATCCAGAACAAATTTTATTATTTCAAATAAATTTTAATTAGTACACATATATTTTAATAATTAACTAACACGCAATATATCCAACGAGATAAAAAATTATAAACTAATTTGAATTAGCAACAATATCACCTTAATTCTTCGTAAATAAAAGTTATATAGTTTAACTATTTTAAAAATATTAAATAAATATTATTGTTATTTAATCCCTAACATTTATTTGGTTCACGTACTTTCCGTAGAAAATATCACGTGATTCATGGAAACAGTATTATGAAATTTCAAAGGAATAGTACAGAGGTTAGTGTCCTCAATACTGCGGCTGATGTTGACTTTAGATCACAATTTAATTTCTGTTTAAAAACCCCTTTGTATACACATAAACTACAGAATCGATTTCAACAAATCTCGATAATTAAAATGAGAATGATTAAAGTAACGCCGACAAACGATACATTCAAACTACAGTATTTATAGTGCTGATTCTAGACATTATAAATAGTTGTCGGAAGATAAAGAGACAATTTTTTATTATAAGTTATAACTATCTGTTAAAACATTTATAATTTAATTTAGTCTACAAAATAAAAACAATCGAGTCACGAGAATGTAGAGGTTCAAATAATTACATTTAGGGGGAAATTACACCATTTTCTTAAAATTAATTCGATTTATTATTACCATAATGACATAATATAAAACACAACTACAAGGTAGTGAACGAAGAATATCAAATCTACATTTTTATTAAGTTTTTAAAAACTAACATATGGTTTGAAAAGAATAACAAACGTTATAAGATAATAGAAAAATCTCCAATTCTTATCAATGTTTCACATATTGTCAAGAATAATGTGCACATTTCAAAATATTAAAAATTGACAAACACATTATGTCATCATTATGCACGTACTGTGAATCACGATCTGTAAGCAGAATTTTTTCAAAATAAACTTAATTTTTATATACGCGTAAAGGCGTAATGTATAGAAGTAAAATTTCGACAACGAAGAAAATTAAAAACTATATAACGTATAAATTAAAACTTATGAATCAGAGAAACTGACGAGGCAATGAGACAACTCTAGAATGGAAGAGATGAATATGCTATACCACACCGTCAATACATTCGTACTGCTAGTGTAAACGACTTTTTTCATGACGACCGTATCTAGTTATTAGCCTTTATTAGGATGAAATCCGGCACACTAATATGAATACAAAACAGACAAGATAGACAAGTCTATTCCAGATTTGGGTGTGGAATTCCAGTCGATCGCGCGCAATGCGTGTGTTCTCGAATCACTTTTTTCCTCACTCTCACGCGGTCTCTCTCATTTGTCACACGATGCCACCTGATAATACATATACACTATACTTATATATTATACAGACTGCGATAACCATGCACTTTACAAAACCACACGGGTCTACACCATACAAATGAATATTGACTGTAAAAGGAAACGTCCGGTAGAGTAATGTTGCAGTAATGTACGTGTGTGTTGTACGTGTATCGTGTACGTGAGTGTAGTATACTAGAGTGTAAGCACATAGTCATCTAAACATCATTGGTCACGACAACGTTTTAGTTTTTGTCTCCAGTGTTATAGTCGAATACCGTGTATAAGTTTAGTCACCGTTGACGACGACGACATCAACGCACATGCCCAGTTAATCTATCCCCACCACCGACTACGACGCCGCCGCAATGGGAGAATGTAGTGAGGGATATATGACCATTACACTCCTACAGTCCTTACTCCATTATTCGCCCAACATCATACAGGGCGATCGAAATTCCGTAAAGACAGCCGCGAAATCAAATACAATACATTTAATAGATATTATTATTTCAATCATCTGATTGAGATGACACTGTGCGTTGTTATATAATAATAAATAACTGTGAAAACGCAAACATTAAGATTCCTAACTGCACGTATATAAACAATAATAAAAAAACCAAAATTGATTTAAAAAAAAAATAAAATAATTTTGAAAAATACATCATTAATTTGTTTATTTCATTACGCATATATAAACTAAATATAAATGCCTAAAAATTAGTTTTTCAAGAATTTTTCGTGTAAATGCGTGGAGTGTAGCCAACGTTATGATCAATGGAGAATACAACTAGCAATTATTATTTATTAGATAGACCACAGACGTGCATCGAATCAATAAACACATCAAATTACATGAACCATTAACAATACGATTTAAAATATTTATGATACTCCACAACAAAAGACTAAACATTTTTATTCTAAGAAAAATATTTTAAAGGATACTTTTGAAGTTAGAAAACGTGACATTTATAACACTCTGTATATTTATAAATACCGATTCCGTGTTTTGTTGTTTGGGTCCCGTTGGATGGAGTAGGACATGGCGTTTGTAAAGCCGTATGCTATAATAATAATAATAATAGCAGCAGTCGGTGACGTCGGTGTGTGCATTCACACAAATCGGCCGACGTACATCCGGCCGCAGGAAATGTGGTATGTTTTTATATTATGTAGAATATATTATATTATTTCATTTACCTAGAACAACATCTGAGGAATGATGGGGCAAATAAAGAGTATAAGAACAATATTATTTTTAAATGATAAAAATTTTAAATTTTTAAATTAAAATCCAAAATAATCTATTGTTATTATGTGTGCTTATAAATGTCTGATTTTATATAAACTCTTAAACATACATAAAATATAACATTATCTTTCAAAAAAAATCAAAAACCACCTTAAACAATACTTAATGTATTTTAAAAATTTTGTTTGCATACAGTTAAGTTATAATAAAGAAAAAGCATTTTGTATTTTTAGACGCATTCATAGGAACTTGTTATTTCAATCCTAAAATCACTGAATACGTTATTTATCAATTGATTCATAACTTCAGAAAGAAAAATTAGAATCAATTGTTTATCAATTGTTTTGAAATATAAACTTACTAATTTTGGAACTTACGATGTCACAATAACGTTAATATTGATAATATGATAAATAACTATTAGAAATGTTTAGTAAAACATCTGTTTTGAGAAAAATACTGA